TTTTCTTTGGTCCACTACTGATGTACACTGGCAGAACCATGAAAGGTTTTATTTTTTCCTCAAGTGTACATGACCAGACTTTGGTACATTCGACTGAGAGAGGCCAACCTCTTCCTCCTTACTGTCCTTCTGCCAAAAAGGTAAAAAACTTTTTCTTTTTAAACATGTATTTAGCCTACTGAGCCAATTTATCTTTGTATTTGTATTTTAATTGTTTTTTCTAAGTTGTTGCTGTTGTCTAAGTTTTTTACCTGGCTTATGTTTTTACTGTGGTACTGCTCATTATGCTTGTTCTTATACCAGTTGGTTATTTCTGTGTATTCTGTTTTTAGCTGCCTTTAATATTCTTTAATGAAAGACAGAATATATAGTTAATATGCCTTTGTGGCCCAGTGCTTAAACGCCTGTACTGCAGCCACTCACTTATAAACCACAAGGTTGAGAGTTCAATACTAGCCAGAGCTCAGGCTCAACTCAGGCTTGCATCCTTCCGAGGTCGCTAAAATGAGTACCCAGCTGTTGGGAAAAGAGCTTACAGCTGTAAACCGCTTGGACACTGCATAGTGAGGTATGAAGCGGTATATAAATGAAGCTGCTTTGCTTTGCTTTAATATAAAATGTTACATAATAGTAGCATCATTTTTCTTGTCACTTCTATTACTGTATGGATCTTGAAAGTTAAATAAATGCCAATGATTGTAGTTATTTTCCACAATTCACCTGGCAACATGTGCTTCACTAACTGATATTTCTATCCCCCCCCCTGCACTTTAAGTGTCCACCACCTCAAAAACAAACAAACAACTGTTTGGAACATCAGCAACAGCTGGTATTGAGAACCACCCCCATGTTCCCATACGTAGAACCAGGGTCAAGCCTTCACTGAACCATGAAATTCATCTGGGCCCAGTCACACTGATCTTGGCCCAATTACACTGAGCTTGATTTACTACACAGGATTACATAAAAGTGAGAGAAGGAGCACCACACACACTGTCCTGCACTCACTGAAAGAAAGGCCGACTGTAAATGTAAGTAATAAATCAGAGTATCTGCACATCAAGACCTGGATATTTGCTGTTACGGGTCTTCAACTCAACTTTTGACTTACAGCAACCCTATCATAGGGTTTTAATGGCTAGATTTGTTCAGAGGAGGTTTGCCACTGCTTTCCTCCAAGACTTGCTGAAGAGCAAGGGTTTCATGACTGAAAAAGAGGAAGACTGCCTTACAAGTGGAGAGATTCAGGGGGGCTGCAGACTGCCAGAAATAGTGCAAATTGAGTCCTCTTTAAGGGTTAGGGTTAGTGCTAGGGAATCATGGGAATTGTTTTTGTTCTGAGACATTGAATCTTCTCTGTCAGAGAGCTCTGGTGCACAATAAAATGCAGTTAAAAAAATTACTGTATTTCATTTTGTTCCTAGGTGATGCTTTCTAAAAATCTAGGCTATAATAAAGAGCCAGTGTGGCCTAATGGTTTGAGTGTATGATGACTCTAGAGCCCAGTATTTGATTTCCCCCCTGGCTATGGAAACCCACTGGCAAGTCACACTCTGAGCCTCAGGGGAAAGCAATGACAAACCTCCTCTGAACAAATCTTGCCAAGAAACCACATGAGGTCTATTTAAACGAGATTACATCCCTCGTACATTGATAAAGACAGGAGGTTCCTAGGCTCAGTGATGAACATTGAAAGGCAGTTTTTGAAAGAGCTGATTCAGAAGAGGTTCCCTTAATACTGTAGCCACATAACACACACACACACACACACACACACACACACACACTCTGCTATTGTGTCACTTTTGCTCACGCAAGTTCAGCATGTTTTGGAAACAATCCAAAATTCTGCCAACAAAAGTGAAGCGGTGTGAGCATACGAAGCAAAGGCTTTCAGCTCTCTGAAGAAATGATGACGGTGATAATGATGATGATAATAATAATAATCCTTTCCTTCTCTGCCTCCTCAGCAAGTGGTAAGAAGGGGCAGGAGGTGAAGCAGCCCTCGTTTCCCCAAGAAACCCCGACCCTCATCTGAGGAGATTTAGCCAGGGAGGAGGCGACTGAAAGAGTGGCCAGAGATGCGAGTAACTCAAGCCACTGAAAGGCCTTAGGCGGGTCACACTCTCTCAGCCCCAGGGTGAAGGCCATGACACATATCCCTTCTGAACAAACCTTGCCAAGAAAACCCCAGGCTAGATAGGTTCACCGCCTTAGGGTCGCCATAAGTCGGAAACGACTCGGAGGCACACAACAACAACAACAACAACCAAGCCCCATCATCCCCTACAAGGGGGGGAGGTGAGAGGGAGGGAACACTTTTTGTGGGGGTTGCCATGGGGACGGGGAGGGCAGGGCCGAGGCCGAGGAGGAGACCCAGGAAAGGGCGGAAGGGGGGGGGGTCGCGTGTGTTTGCGGGAGGCGGAGGCGGCCCGAGAGCCAGTCCTTCTAAGAAGAGGAGACGACGGGAACCGACCCACCTCGCTCGTCCCCGCAGCCCATCCGCCGCTCCTCCGCCTCTCTCTCGCAGCCCGGCCCGGCCGCCCGGCATTGGGGAGGCCCCAGGGAGAGGCGGAGCGGACCCGCCTCTCGGGTGGGAACCGGCAAGGCGCGCAGCGGCCCAGGAGGAGAAGGCAGGCAGGGTGTCTCCACTGCGCCTGCGCCGACAAGAAGGCCGTTTGTGTCGTTGGGCGGGAAAAAGGGAGCGCGAGGCGTTGGGGGACTGCTCCCTGCCCTCTCCAGATGTTCGCTCGCTCGCGCGCTCCGCCCCTCCAGATGCTAACCTCTCCTTATAAGGAGCGGACGGCCGTTAGGCCTCCTAGGCGCTGTCCTTTCCGTTTGAACGGCCCCCGCCTGCTTCTCAACCCTTGGCTGGGCAGAGTGTGTGGTTCTCGGCCCTGGAGTTGTCTTCCACTCATGGGAACCCTAAGAATGAGAGACCTCCGAGTCACTTCTCTCGTCAAGAGCCCTGCTTGCTGCTCAGGCCTTGCAGACTCTGGGCCGCCGGCTTCTTTGATTGAGGCCATCTATTTGGAATGAGGTCTTCGCTACCTACTGCTTTATACCTTATTTAGAATTATTGTTACTGTCATTATTATTATTATTTTTAGAGCGCTGTAAAATTTGCACAGCACTTTTATCTAGTAGGAATCAAAATGACAATAGATAATTGAAAACCTGCCACATGGCATACCATCTAAAACGTCAGCGTACAAAATTAAAACATCTCTAAAATAACACAGCAAATGTACAATGAAGACATAAGCATCTTCCTCTTATCCTGCTGCCTTCTACCTTACCAAGCATTGTTATATTTTATAGTGAGTCATGTCTTCTCGTGATAAGTCCAGAGTATGACAACCTCAGTTTAGTCATCTTCACTTCTAAGGAGCATCCAGGGAGAGAGATTGTTCCTAATACCCAAATTGCTGTGCCATGTTGCCAGAGAAAATAGAATTACAGTTATCCCTCCAAGTCCGCAGACATGAACTCTGCGGACTTGATGATCCGCAGATGGGCAACCACCACTGAAATGAATGGGGTGTGCATTTGAGGCAGATTATCTAGATCCATTTCAGTATGGCTTCAGACCTGGTTATGGGGCAGAAACAGCTTTGGTCACCTTGGTAGATGACCTATGCAGGGAACTGGACAGGGAAGTGTGACCCTGTAGTTTTTCTGGATTTCTCAGCAGATTTGGATACCTATCTGGGATGGGGCTTGGAGGTACTGTTGTACAGTGGCTTCAGTCTTTCCTGGAGGGGAGCTCTCAAATGTTAGTGCTTGGGGTTCCTGCTTAATTCATTGGCTATTTGCCTGTGGAGTCCCCCAGGGTTCAGTCTTGTTCCCTATGTTATTTAACATCTACATGAAACCACTGGGAAAGGTTGTCTCATGTTCCAGAGCCAGGTGTCACTGGCATGCTGATTATACCCAGCCCCAGCTCTATCACTGTTTCCCATTTAATTCCAAGGACATGGTTCCTGTACTAAACTGGTGCCTGGCAGCTGCAGTGGACTGGATGAGGGCAAACAAACTGAGGCTTAATTCAGACAAGATAGAGGTGCTCCTGGTCAGTCTTAGGAATTGGTCCAGTCACAGGCCTGATCCTCCAGGACCTGAGCAGAGCAGTTAAAGACAGGAAGTCTTGGAGAAATCATCCATGGGGTTGCCATGAGTAGAAGTTGACTGGAGGGCAGTTAACAACAACAGATGTATCCACTAATAATGGGCAATATAAGTCTTTGCATAGGATTGTTGTTAGCTGCCTTCAAGTTGTCTTCCACTTATGGGGACCCTATGAATGAGAGATCTAGTCACCCCATCATCAACCACCCTCCTCAGGTCTTGCAGATACCAGGCTATGGCTTCCTTAATTGAGTCTATCCATCTGGAATGTGGTCAGCTTCTCTTCCTACAACCTTTTACCTTACAAAGCATTATTGTCTTTTGCAGGGAGTCATGTCGTCTCATGATATGGCCAAAGTACAATATACATCTCATAAGACACTTATCACTCTTGCCTCTGTTAATAAATGTTATGTTTATCATAACATTTTGTCTGAATATTTGGGATTAATAATAGAAATGATTAGTGAAATGAATGATTTGTATATAGTTCACTATTTATTTTTGGCATCAGCGATATTGTTAGGAATACAATGCTCACCTTTCCTCAAACTTTGTCTTCTTGCACAACAGTGCAAGACCTCATGAATAAGAGACCTCCAAGCCTTCCAGTCTTCAACAGTCCTGCTCAGGTCTTCCTTCCTTCCTTGCTTTTCTTGTGGCTTCCTTGATGGAGTTTATCCATCTGGAATACAGTCTTCATCTTTTCCTACTGCCTTCTATCTTGTTGTTTTGTGCCTTCAAGTTGTTTCTGACTTATGGTGGCCCTAAGTGAACCTATAATTGGGTTTTCTTGGCAAGATTTGTTCAAAGGGGACTTGCCTTTGCCTTTCTCTGAGGCTGAGACAGTGTGACTTGCCCAGTGGGTTTCATGACTGAACTGGGAATCGAACCCTGGTCCCCAGAGTTGTAGTCCAGTACTCAAACCACTGAGCCACACTGGCTCTCAGTTCGTCCTCAAATTAAGTCTTATACTCCCTGGTCTCCAGAGTTGTAGTCCAGTACTCAAACCACTGAGCCACACTGGCTCTCAGTTTGTCCTCATATACTCCCTTACTAAGCATTATTGTCTTTTCTAGAGAGATGTGTCTTCTCATGATGTACAACAGCCTAAGTTTAGTCATCTTGGCTTATAGGGAAGAGTCCAGGCTTGATTTGCTCTATGACCCGTTTATTGGTCCTTTTAGCAGTCCACAGTATCTGTAGAACTCTTCCCCAGCACCACATTTCAAATGAGCAGAGATTATCTGAGTATGTGAAGTCGAAGGTTTTCATGGCCGGCATCCATAGGTTTTTGTGTGTTTTTCAGGCTGTGAGGTCGTGTTCTAGAAGAATGTATTTCTGACATTTTGCCTGTCTCTGAAGATGCCAGTCACAGATGCAGGAGAAACATCAGGAATACATTCTTCTAGAACGGGTAGGCAACCTTTCCCCTTTAAGGGCCGAGGGACTTCAGCTCCCAGAAGCCTCAGCCATGTTGGTCAATAGTCCCATGTTGGCCAATAGCTCCTGGGATTCTGGGAACTGAAGTCCCTCGGCCTTTAAAGGGGAAAGGTTGCCTACCCCTGTTCTAGAACATGGCTCTACATCCTGAAAAACCTACAAAAAACTATTGTCTGAGTACTCTTCTAATAGAGATCTGCCTCTGCCTTCTGTAAAGTAGGACATATGGCCACCCTATTTAGATGGGAAATGGCACTTGTGCATTTGTTGTTAAGTGCCTTCATGTTGTCCTCAACCCATGGCGACCCTATGAAAGAGACCTCTAAGTCACCCTATCAGCAGCAGCCCTGCTCATGTCTTAAAGACTCAGGGCTGTGGCTTCCTTGATTAAGTCTATCCATTTGCAATGCAGTCTTCCTCTTTCTACTGCCTTCTACCTTACCAAGCCCTTTCTCTACCACTGAGAAGGCTATCTCTTGTGTCCTCACCAGGCGAGCCTGTGATGGTGGTGGGACCAGGAGAAAGCCTACTCCTAAAGACTCTTAGGGCTACAGCTTCCATAAGCCCTAGCCAACATAGACAATAAATCAAGATTATTGGAGTTGCAAGCAAAAAGCACCAGGAAGGCCACAGTTATCTATTCCTGCCTTATGCCCTGCTTGTAAACCCCAAGTAGTGTTTGGCTGGCCAGTTTGGGGAGGAGTTTGTGAGAACAAAATGAGACCACATCTGATCTGGCAGATGTGGTATGAATGTTTCTAATTTTAATGCAACAGTTATTTTGCCCTGGAATTAGAGGAATAGCACGAAGGAAACTTTTCTCTCTGCTTCTAACTGAAGGAATATGGGATGCTGCAGCTCCTCCCTTTCCTTTCCAAGAGGGAGACTGGTGAGAGGGATAAACCTGGACCTTTCTATGAGATGGAGAAAGAATCCCATCAGCCCTTACTTCCAATGAACCAGAAAGGAAAACTACCCTTGCTTTCCACCTGTACCTGCAGTTCCAACTAGTAGTTGCCCTGACATGGCAAGGATGAGAGAATGGGCCCTCTGACCTCTTCCATTAACCAAAGACCATTACATAATTGTGCCATTTATATCCAAGTGAGAATATCAGCAAAAGGAGATCAGCTGTCTTCAACATGATAGTTTATTTTTCAAGTCCCCACATCCTTGACACATTGTCAGTCTACTCTCCTTTATGCACCTTTAGCCTTCTCTCCCCTTCCTTTATGTGTCCTTCCTTATTTAGTTTTTTAGCCCGAGACCAAGGCCTCTCTGTCTTTTAAATCAATGGAAATTGCTTTTGGAAACATTTGTTTCTGAAAATTTGATAAAGTAATAGACTAAGATATTAAATAATACTAAAAAGCAGTTCCTCTGAGTCAAGAAAATTGTGATCCAGGAGCATACATGAATACACCCAACACTCCTGAGTATGCAAAGAATGACAAGCTTTTTCTTCCTGCCCCCTCCCCTCTCCAACAGAACTTATTCTTACCCCCAGCCCAAGAAAAAGAAGGTCAAAAGAGAGGGAGTAGAGTGCATTGTCTTTAAGGTCTCCTAAGGACAGAAAATAGCAATAGTGAATAACTCCATTGTTCCTCTGCAATGCCAAGTCAACATGAGAGGTGAAGAATGAACACTGGTTTCTTTATTGAATCACTTACAATTAAAACCATTGAGCTCAATTCATGGTTTAACTGCACAGCACATGCCAACAGGACCTGAGTATTGAGCAGAGAGTGAATGATTACACTTTATTGGAGCCCTAAAATCCAGGAAAGTTCCAACACAGGTTGCAACCCCATTACCATGAAGAGGATTAGCTGAAGCTAAATAGTAGATCTTAGTTGACAATATTTACAGAAAAAATGATCCACTTTTATCTATATATCCTACGTTGTCCAAATCTTATGAAATTTCCTGGAACCAATCAGATACAGAGTCATAGAGTTGGAAGGGCACCATGGGCTATGGAGTGCAATCTCCTGCTCAATGCAAGATCTCCAGCTAAAGCATCCCCAGCAGATAGCTGCCCAGCCTCCAGACATCCAGAAAAGACATCCAGAGAATGAGACTCCACAACCTTTCTAAGCAATTGGTTCCATTGCCAAACAAGTCTTACATCAAGAGGTTCCTTCTAAGTTAAATTAAATTTACTTTCCTGTAAAATTTCACACCATTAGACTGGGTCTTACCCTTTGGGGCAACAGAGAACAGGACTCCCCCCCCCCAATTGAAGCAAACATGTCACCCCTCAGTCTTCTCTTCACCAGCCTGAATGTGCCCAGCTTCTTCCACCTTTCTTCTTATTCATCATGCCTCTTATCCCTGACC